ACACTTGAAATTTGGATACAAACTTCCTTATTCAAGAGAATTACAAAATGTGTGCTCCAGAGCTGAGTTTTTGTTATCTCTAGAGCTAATCTGGTTGTGGTGTCATGTGATGTTTGAAATTCTACTAAGGTTACAAAAGGAATGGGTTACATAAAATATTCAGGACTTCCTCCTCTGACATGTCAGACTAAACTTTGACAAGGGTCTTGATGGTCTGGTATACTAATATGAAATATATTTGATTGGAGTGTCTCAGTTGGTTAAGTGTCCAACTCTTGATATTGGCTGCGGTCATGATCTCCCAGTTGTGAGCTTGAGCCCTGTCTAGGGCTCCACACTGAGCATGGAGCCTACTTGGGATTCTCTCTCTCTCCCTCTCTCTCTCTGCCCCTCCCCCCTGGTCCCCCCCCCCTTTCTTTCTCAAAACAAACAAACAAACATTAAAAAATATACAGCTGATCATTTTAAGTCAATGAGACCCAATGATAGGGAAACTACTATCCTAGAGCTCTGAGTTCTGGTCCTGGCTCAGCTACTTGTGGTGCCAACCTACCAAGCAAAGCAATGTCCTTTGCTCATACCCTCCTGGTTAAAACTGAGGAAGGTGGGACCACAAAACATCTCATTTCCCTTCCAGATGGCACTTACAAAAATGAATTTGTGAATAGTCAGCAAAACGAATAGGTGCCATCATGCTGAAATTTACCTACAATAATATAGCACTTTCAGGATGTTTTTATTTGCACCACTTTCAATAACAGAAGGCTAAAAATTACTTGTAACCACATAATTTTTAAAATAATGTGTAATTATAAAAAGAAATATTAAGTCAAACTTATTCTTGATTAGTGATCAATGACTTTGTTAAAATAGAACTTGAAAATTATAATCAATAATGAGGAGCAAACTGTTGTTTTGAATTTGAAAGAAATCTGAAATTGTTCACATGGAAACCATTGTATACTTTCAAAAATACAATTTCTCAAATATATAATGCATTTGCTTTTACACATAGGTCCGATTTTTTTGACAATTTAGCTTTGTTTCTTCTTGATAATCTCTCACTTTGGGAAATTTCAAAAAGATACTTAAGGATAATAAATAAAATATTTTCATTTGGGTCTAGGATTTGGTCTGAGTTACTTTAACTGTGATCATCTTGCAATCTAAGCCTGAGTTGTTCTACTATTTTTATGGAGGTATTAATCAGTTCTAAAAATATAACTGATTACAATGAAGAGTGATTGAAAATGTTATCAATGATCCTGATTGCAAAATAAAATTGCAGATTGTTTGCAGAGCTGAGTTTAACAAAAGGCTTCTCTCTAATGTGGCAGGAATGATCACTACCTCTACAGACCTCCCTCCTGCTGCTGTTGCTGGATAATAATTCTTGGCTCTGGGATTCTCATCCCAGAATTTGTCATTACCTAGCTATTTGACCTTGAGCATGTCAACTATTAACTTTCCTGTGCCTCAACTGTCTTTGCTTGTCTTGTCTAAGTCACAGGTTTACTGCGAAGATACCACAAGTTACTACAAGTTACTTATGAAAATACTTTGTAAACCATAAAGCGTTATGGAAAGTATTTTTATTTTCTTGGTTTGGCTTTTAAAAGATATTCCAAAGAAACAGTATCACAGACAAATCTTTTCTAGAACCACTAAGTCTAAGGGAGTTCACACAAAAATACATATATTGCAAGCACTAATTCAAGACTATTAAATAAGTTTAATGGTAAAGAGTTGGGCTCCAAAGTCAGAAAGAATTGTTCAAATCACAGTTCTGTCTTTTATTGCATCTTTCACCTTGAACAAATTAGAAAATTTACTTGAGCCTTCAACTTATCAGTAAAATGCAGGTATCTACTTGATAACTTATTAATTAGAACAGGTTAAAACAAGTTATGCTTTGATAACAAAGAATTCCAAAATTTTAGTAGCATATAAAGTAGCAACAAAGGTTGGTTGGTTTAGTTTCCCTCTCACTCATGCTATATGTCTTTTGTAGGTCAGTTGAGGCACTCCACTCCATTTCTTCTCACTCTGGAACATTTGCTGTTAGAATATCTGCCACAGAAAATTAGCTGATCACTAAAGCAGAGGGAAAGTGAGAGCAGTGGTTGTGTGTTGATTTGGCTTTAACTGCTTATATCTCACCAGCCAAAGAAAGTCATATGGCCTCATTCAACTTCAAGGGGGCAGAAAATTGTAATCCTACCATAGCCTTGGAGGAGAATTAGAACTATTGGAAAGAGTCCTAATCATTGTTACAAACAGCTTGTTCTAAAATTACATATATGAATTACTTATCACAGTGACTGGCAAATATACTAAGGTTTCAATAATGTCTTATCATATCTCCATTAACTTATGTTTATACACAGAAATAATTTTGAGATTTCCATCATCTATACTTACAATGCCTTGACCCATGAAGCAAAAAACTGGAGAACCTATCAGAAATTTGGGTGCCTACGTTATTCTGTCATAAGGGATCATGATTTCTCCACCCCTCCCCTGCTTACTTACTAAAAACAATTGCAAGGAGAAATATTGTGACTTTGTGAAAGTATTACATGATATTGCAAAGCAGTTTGAGTTTCTAAGAAGTACCTGTGTGACACACATTGCATCTATTTTTTACTGAGAAATACCCCAGGGATATCATTCCTGATGCTTCAAAGAAGGGATAAAACTTACAAATAGATCTTGTTTTTTAAATGACTTTGTGGTTCTTTTCCTGGAAGCCGTCTGACTGTAACTTCCATTCTTCATGAGACTGTGATTCAGGTTGACTCTCTGTGATCCCAAAAATATCCTAGCTTCTAATCCAGATGACAATTACAAATAAGCAAGTCAGAGGGAGGGGAAAAAATGAAAAAACAAAGGCGCTCACAGAGCAACTAACATAGTTCCTTGGTACATAGTATACACACTGACAGTTTCTTCTAGTTAGATGGTCTGCACATTACCTCTTATTGAGTCCTACAGTTGTCCATTTTTCTGAAACCTATGCAAATTATTCAGGCTTTTTTCCACTTATGTGAAAATAAATATCCAGGCTCTGTATTTTTTATGTCTAATGTAAAGTTATCTGGTACAAATCAGTAATATTACATAAAAATAATGAATATCTGAAACTATACTATAAGGTCCACAAGAGAAGAAATGAGTCATAGTTATTTGGAGGCAGCCACTCTCAGCCCTTGTCTCCCCTGCCCTATCCCCACAGCTCCAACACAAGCTCAAAACTGTTCATTAAAAAATGAATAATGATGGGCGTCTGGGTGGCTCAGTCAGTTATGTTTCTTGCTTCGGCTTAGGTCATGATCACCCAGTTTGTGAGTTTGAGCCCCATAGCACAGAGTCTGCTTCAGATCCTCTGTCTTCCTCTCTCTCTGCCCCTCCCCTGCTCACACTCTCTCTCTCTCAAAAATAAATATTTTTTAAAAAATGAATAATGGTATCTAATGCCAACTCAAGTATTTGGGTTGCTATGTATCAAATTCTAGACAAGCTTCTTGAATATGGTACTTTAGAATGGGGTGGCATGAGTAGGTAGTATTCTTAACCACTTTAGAATTTGGAGTTATAAAAAATGGTTGTCTGAGGGGAGGTGTTGGAGGATGGACTAAACAGATGATGGAGACTAAGGAGGGCACTTGTGATGAGCACCGGGTGCTGTATGGAAGTGCTAAATCACTATATTGTACACCTGGAAAAACATCTCACTGTATGTTAACTAACTGGATTTGAATAAAAACTAAAAAAAAAAAAATGGTTTGTTATATTCAGTTCTAGCAAACATTTTCATATTCTCTAGCCTATCTGTCCCATGACCAGAAGTGTTTAATTATGAGACCATTTAGACATAACCAGATGCACTGGTTTTGAGACAGCAACTCTCAGTTGCTTTGAAAAGTACTATTTTGCAGGTGTGGGCACAATTAGATATTCAATTTATGCAGGTGTTACATTTCTGACAGGCTTTTATTTTCTCTTCTTTCCCTTTCTGCCTTATCTTTTCATTTTATTTTTGTAAATCTATTTGTTAGAGTAGAGTTCTGGCCTGGAGAGCCACAGCATTTGTCAGTGGGAGAAGGTGTAGGTGGGAACAAATATATTTTTCAAGTCACCGCCTCACTCTGAGCGCAGAGCATGGTTCCTCCTGCTAGGTGGACACCTAAGAGTGCTCTTCCCTCAGGGGCAAGCTTCGATACTTAATTTATGGATGTGCTCAGCCTGATTTTAGAAAATACCTGGTGATGTAAGACTAAGAATTAAGAAAAAAGATCAAGTTCTCACAGTAGCTGCTTGCTAATTAATCCTGGTGATTAACCACCTGAGAGAATCATCTAAGAATAGCTATATTGGGCAGTATTTCTATTTTTTCCCCTCTACCTGTGGCTATCCACAAACAGGATGAAATAGAGGGTATTTGGAAGTGAATACTTTGACAGTTTTAAAACAATACTCAAGGCTGTAATTACTTTAGTAAGTTTTGCTTCAGCGAACTCTCTCGAAGAGAAGGTCTGCATTTCTTTTCATTTGCAGCCTTGTTTTCCTTTTCAAATAATTAACCTTGGGATATCTTCAGATGTATGCACAAACCGTATAAAAGATTTGAGACTTTCATAAAACCAAGACTTTGGAGGCAACATGATCAATTCTAGATAGCATAATGCATTTCACTATAAGAAATGCAGCCCTATCAGAACTGAAAAGTGTACAATTAATGCTTTCATCATATAGACAGAATCTGAATTAGTCCATTTTAAATTATCTAAAGTACGTAATAACTTATTAAATAGTCAAAAGGGTTATGCTGCAGGTATGTTTTTATATATGCACAAATTACATATAAACCATTAAAAAATGTATTGAACACCTACTATACACCAGGCACTATTTTATATTTATACACAATCCAGATGTATAATGTTATAGTAATGTTCATATATTTATCTTAAACCTAATAATGAATGTGTTGGTTAAAATAGTCTTAAAATCAACTTTATTGTTCCATAATTATGAGATGACATAAAATTCTACCACCCAGAGATGTTTGATAGTATTTCATTGTAGGTCACTCTAGAAAGTTCTATCTGCATACATATATATAGAAAATTTTCAGAAATCAGATCTATACACCATATGGAAGTATAGCATGATTTAAAAATCATAAGAATATGTTTTTTTTCAATTGTATTACCTTTTTAAATGATCATTACTATGCAGAAACTTACTGTTAGAGTCCAATTCTGCCCTCTAACAGATCACATATATTTCCTTGAAAAGGGACTGCACTGAGCTTCATCATCCAACAGTTAGTCCATTAATTCCTTCCAATCATACCCATGGTACAGTAGGAAGATGGAACAAACTCTACTAAGCTCAACTTCTGTGCCAGGCACTCAAGATACAGGGGTAAACAAGAAGATGTGATTCTCCATCTAACAAATTTTATATTCTGGGTACTTAAACTTTCTCTAGTCTAGATTTAAAGGTAACTCAGCTAGATTTTAGAAATTTTGGATGTTCATCTGGGGACTACCAGGGCAAGAGACCAAATATAAAGCCTATCTAGTTCGATGCATCATATCATTCAGGTTCTAATCTCTCGTAGTAATTGCTGAAAAATGGCATTCGAGGATTTAGATCCTGAAACTGGCCACATACCAACATAGTTCTTTGCAGTTCTATCAGTCTGTCATATTTGGTTAGGCCTAGTATACAAAAAAAATCATTAATTTTTTAATGTTAAACATTTGTTCAAAATCAGTTATGATACCAGTTAGTATTCCCACACCTGACACATTGTAAGGACTTAATACATGTTTGTTAAATTAATTACTCAGGTTCATCTCTTTTCAAAGTGTTAAATTCACACTGGAATATAAAGGTAAGAATCTGCAATTCATTTCATCTATTTAGATCTCAGCTATAACATACTGATTGAATCCTGGATCAGCAGAAAGCAAAGTCAAATTTTAAAAAGGAAAAATGGCCAAAAACTACTGTTAGTTTTCACCTTAATCTAGTGTTTGCTCATCAACCACTGAACTAATCATGCTTGTGCCTTGAGTTGAGAATAGAATGGGGACATTATAGATTTAGAAAGTCCAGGGCTTGTTCTTTATTGATGCAATAATTTTTTGTTGAGAGCCTGCTATGTCTTGATTATGTTCGACATTCTGTAAGTTAAGACACAAATAAATGTTTTTCAATATCCACCCAATCAGATCTTTATAAAAAATAATCCCAACAAACAAATCTTAGTTTAGACTGAGGATAGAACAAGAATGCTATTCTAAATGATCTTTTCTAGGAAGTTAAACACATTTTTCAAATCACCATTATTTTCAGTGTTATCATCTGTAACCAAATTTCAGAAGACAATCGTATTCATAGATTCGAACAAGAAGGGTGTTCTGGTCCTTTGTTTCATTGCTTTGTTGGTTTTTAGTGTCCTGTTTTTTAAAAACTGATCCTTGGTATGTATATTCATATATTCTTTTTAGGAAGAAAAAATATCAGTAAGGTGAAATTGCTGCAGTATTTTTCTTCTCAACTGTGTGCAATTCGTTTCTTTAGCTGTGTGTCCGTTTCCTAGGAAACCTTAGTGGAGTAATGTTTGATTGGCTGTCATGCTGGACTTATCATGAGAGTTCTGAGCAAAGAGTCAGAATGGCATAGCCCCAGATAAGTTGTTGCAAAGACATAACAATGCCTCTCTGTGCATATTTGCAAGCTGATGCAAACCATACTGAGTTTGAGGTGTTACCGTGTTGCAGGAAGATCTGTGCATGGAATTTTGAAGACCCTCCTAATAGACATGATATAGCACAATTTCTCAGTACTGCAATCTTGATCTCTTACCAGGTATTTAAAATTTGTTTTCTACCTATAGTCTTAATTAAAGATTCAAATTTGAAATTCTTAGTTGTAATACCTCTCCAGAGAAATAGAACTGTTTACTACCCTAGGATATTTTACCTGCTCATGGTTGATGATTAAAGTGTCCATGACATATTTTACAGTGCTATTGCACTGCTTACATAATATATTTAAAAATAATTTTCATATCTAATACACTACAATTTATGAACTTACTGTAAATATTACCTCATTGAATTCTTTCTGGACCTATGAGTCAGGTAGACAAAAAGTCTAATTAGCTTACTTTAAAAGATGAGACACTGGAAGCCTCAAACAGATGAAGCAATTCATGTGTGATCACACAACAGAAAAGTAGCAGACATGAGACTGATATCTGCATCTGTTCATAAACTTCAGAGCGCTCTTCCTAAAAATTTCTAATTGTCCACATCTAATAAAACAGTATCTCCTGGTTGCCTCCATTTCCAAAATATATCCCCAATTCATCTATTTATCTCATTTTCTGTTTTATCACTTATTTTTCCTCCAAAGTTCCATAATAACGTCCTAAATAGTCTTTTTGATACTAATCTTCCTAAAATTCATTCTCTCCACTGTAGCCAAGTACTTTAAAAATTTTAGTGTGGGTGTTTTCTGAAGTAAAATTTACATTCCATGAAAAGCACAGTTTGTAAAAACAAAACACAATTTAGTGAGTTTTAATACATATATACTTCATGCAACTATATCAAAGTTGAAATATACAACATTTTCAAAACTCCAGAAATTTCTCTCATGCCTTCTTCCAATCCCCATCCTTCAGCAGCAACCACTATTTTGATTTCTTTCACAGGGAAGCTTATATAGATTAAATAATGCAGCATGTACTCTTTATTCTGCTTCTTTCCTCAATAAAATATTTTTGAAATGCATCCATATTGTTGTATGAATGAGAAGTTTGTTATTTTCGGCGCAGTGTAGTATTCCACCAAAAGCATAGACCTAAATTTGTTTACCTATTTTACTGTTGATGGACTCTTGAGTTATTTACTATTTTTATTATTATTTCACCGTAATTTTAAAGTAAAATTCTTATTTTATAATCATTTCAGATTTACAGAAAAGAGGTAAGATAGTAAAAATAGTTCTCATATAGTTCACATCTAGTTTACCCTATTATTAACATCTTACATTAGTGTTGTATATTTGTTGCAACTAATAAACCACTGTTGAGACATTATTATTACCTAAAGTTCACACTTCACTCGGATTTACTTAGATTTTTATTTTAGTCTTGGGCATTTTATTTTTTTCAGTTTTATTGAGAAATAATTGATGTACCTCACTGGATAAGTTGAAGGCTGAGGGCATGGTGATTTCAGTTATACATATTGTGAAATGACAACATAATAGGTTCAGCTAACATCCATCTTCTCATATAAATAAAATAAAAAAAAAAGAAAGAAAACCAGGAAAAAAGGAAAAAAATTCCCTGTGATGAAAACTCTTACAATTTCCTCACTTAACAACTTTCCTATGTATCAAGCAATGTTAGCTACAGTCATGGTGTTATATGTCCCTAGTACTTGTACCTGGAAATATATACCTTTTGACCACCTTCAAATTTTCCCTCTCCCACTTTCACCTCTGGCAACCATAAATCTCTCTTTTTCTTCAAGTTTTTTTTGTTTTTGTGTTTTGTTTTGCTTTTTGATTCCACATATAAATGAGATCATGCAGTATTTGTCTTTAACTTATTTGACTTAGCATAATGGCTTCAAGGTCCATCCATGTTCTCACAAATGGAAGGATTCTTTTTTTAATGGCTGAATAATGTTTCATTATATATAAACCAACTTCTTTATCCATTCATCCATTGATGGACATTTAGATTGATTCCATGTCTTGGCTACTGTCAACACTACTGCTGTGAACGTGGGGATGCAGATATCTTTTTTGAATTAGTGTTTTTATTTCCTTTGGATATATTCCCAGAAATGGAATTGCTGCATCAAATGGTAGTTCTATTCTTAATTTTTTGCTGATTTTCCATACTGTTTTCTATAGTGTTTACACCAATTTACAATCGCACTAACAGTGCACAAGGGTTCCCTTTTCACCACATCCATGCCAATGTTCATTATCTCCTGTCTTTTTAATAACAGTCATTCTAGTATTTGTGAGGTGACACCACATTGTAGTTTTAATTTGTATTTTCTTAATGACAGTTTTTTTATGTACCTGTTGACCTTTCATATATCTTCTTTAAAGAAGTGTCTATTCAGGTCCTTTGCCCATTTTTAAATTTTTTTGTTTTGTTTTACTGTTTGTTTTTTGTTTGTTGCTAATGGGTTATATATATATATATATACATATATATATATATATATATATGTATATATATATGTACATATTTTTGTATATATTTTAAGTATTAACCCTTTACCAGATATATGGCGTGGAAATATTTTTTCCTAATCCTTAGGTTTTCTTTTCACTTTTTTCATGACTTCTTTTGCTGAGCAGAAGCTTTTTAGTTGATATTCCATTGTTAATCTTTCATTTAGTGGTTTGTACTTTAGGTGTCATATCCAAAACATCATTAACAAGACCCATATAAAGAAGCTTTATTTCTATGTTTTCTTCTAGGAGTTTAATTGTTCAGGTCTTACATTTAAGTCCTTAATCCAGTTTGAATTGATTTCTGTGAGTAGCATAAGCCTAGTTTCTTTCTTTTACATGTGAATATCCAGTTATTCTAACACCATTTATTGGAAATATTTTTTTTCTCCATTAAATATTCTTAGCTCCCTTGTGAAATATTAGTTTGCCATATAAGCTTGGGTTTATTTATGGGCTCTCAGTTCTGTTCTGTTGGTCTATATTTTTGTTTTTATGCCAGCACTATACTTTTTTGATGACTATAGCTTTATAGTATATCTTGAAATCAGGAGGTATGATACCTCCTGCCTTTTTCTTCTTTCTTGAGATTTCATTGGTTATTTGAAGTCTTTCCTGGTACTACATGAATTTTATGAGTGTTTTCTCTACTTCTGTGAAGAATGACATTGGAATCTTGATAGAGATTATACTGCATCTATACATGGATCTTAGTAGTACTCACATCATAACAATATTAATTCTTCTAATACATGAACACAGGGTACATTTATTTATTTGGTTTTGTTCAATTTCTTTCATCAATGTTTTATAGTTTTCAGAGTAGGGATCTTTCACCTTAGTTAAATTTATTCCCAAATATTTTTATTGTTTTTGATGCTTTGTATATGGGATCAATTTATTTTTCAAAAAAAAGTTCATGCATAGACACATTACTGATTTTTATGTTAATTTTTCATCCTGCAACTTTGCTGAATTTATTGATTAGATCAAACAGTTGACTATTTAGGATTTTCTGCATATAAAATTATGTCATTTCCCTTTTTTTTAAATTATTGATTATTGATTATTTTTTAAAATTATTGATTTATTTTGAGAGGGAGAGCATACAAACAGGGGAGGGTCAGAGAGAGGGAATGAGAGAGAATCCCAAGCATGCTCCACATTATCAGTACATAGCCTGATGTTTGGACTTGAACCCACAAACTGTGAGATCATGACCTGAGCCTAAATTAAACGTTGGACATTTAACTGACAGCTACCCAGGCACCCCTAAAGTTATGTCATTTCCAAATAGAGAAAATTTACTTCTTCCTTTCCAATTCTAACACTTCCATTCATATTTTTCTTGCCTGATTGTTCTAGGTAGGACTTCTAGTATTATGTTGAGTAAGAGTGGTGAAAGTATGCACCCTTGTTTTGTTCCTGATCTTAGAGGAAAATCTTTCCATCCTTCACCAATAAGTATGATGTTAGCTGTGGGCTTGCCATATATGGCCTTTATTATGTTGAAATATGTTTCTTCTATGCCAAATTTGTTAAAAGTTTGTATCATGATTAAGTGTTGAATTTTGTCAGATGCTTCTTCTGTACCCATTGAGATGACCATGTGATTCTTTTATTCTATTAATGTGATTTATCCATTGATTGATTTGTATATACTGAACATCCTTCAAACCCACAGATAAATCCCAATTGATTATGGTGAATGATCCTTTTAACGTATTGCTACATTTGGTTTACTAACATTTTATTGAGAATTTTTCATCTATATTCATTAAAGGTATTGGTATGAATATTTCTTTTCTAGTAGCAACCTTTTTTGGTTTTTGGTATCAGGATAATGCTGGCCTCATAAAATGAGTTTGGGAGTCTCCCCTCTTTGATTTTTGGAAGAGTTTGAGAATCGTTATTG